AGTCCTTCTCCTCAGGGCTGCTCTCGATCCATTCTCCACCCAGCCTGTACTTGTGCTTGGGATTGCCCCAACCCAGGTGCAGGACCTTGCACTTGGCCTTGTTGAACTCCATGAGGTTGGCAGTGGACCACCTCTCCAGCCTGTCCAAGTCCTTCAACTTTTTAAAATTCTAGTTAGAAATAAAATTCTTAACCTTCTGAGATAAGATGTATTTTTACTGCATTTACATGGGAAAATAAAAGAAAATAGGAAAGAATCATACTGCATCCATTGCCTGTTACACTTAATTTATAGGCATAATGGAGTATCAATAGTTACTCTGAAGGTACACATGTGTGTGTGCTTGAGGATCAGGAACTGAAGAACCTTTTCCCTTGTGTCCACCCTGTAACTATTATTCACATATGTAACAAAACCTCTAGTTGCTGCAGAATGCCCAAAAGCTGTAGAACAAATGATGCCACTGCCAAGGCTGGTCACATGAAGTACAGCTGCCAGTTCTTAGGAACAGACAGAACAAAATGCCCAGTTAGGATGTGGTTTGAAACATGTACATCAAAATCACCCGTTTTAAACGGCGTAGACAGCGTGGGGTGGGTGCTGCGGGCTCTGCCCCTGCCTGAGCAGGGTGATGGTGTGATGGTGATGGTGAGCAGGTGATGGTGAGCAGGCCTGAAGCAACTCCCGGTGATGGTGAGCAGGCCTGAAGCAATGCTGGTGGGGTCCCCCCCTGCCAGCAGGAACCACATTTTGGCTCGGGCCCTGTCCTGCACCTCACCTCGTGCCCCAACCCCCATTTGACACCCAGCCCCACATCGGCACAACCTCCTCCCAAGGACTTCTCTGCTGCTCACTGGAGTTCTGGCTAGTAATTGCCATCGGATCTGCCTCGCTCTTCTTGTCTGGGCGCTGTGGGATGGTGACCCTTCTTACCAAAGTCACTGCGCACCTTGCCACCCACCCTCCGCTCCTGGCTCGCCTCCTCTTGTGCGGCAACCCACCCCTCCTGCTCCCTCCAGTGCCCGTTCATCTGAAAGCTGACCTTGCACCTCAAGGATTTTATTCAGAGTCCAACTCATGAAGAGGTAATTGTTGTTACGTCACGTGTTAGCTAACGGCGCAAATAAGCTCTCAATGGCAAATAAAGGGCATTTTTTTGTTGTTGTTGTGTGTATGAGAAAGTCCTGTATCAGCAAAGCTCTCATATAATGGAGCTTGTGAATATTGCTTTTTACCATCTGTAGTTGGCAAGGAGACTTTGTTCCATCCTGGCAAGTGATGACATGGTCTCAATAAAACATGACTTTGTCACCTCCTGGCTGAGTTACAGCAGTATAAAATAAGGGGATATGAAGTCATCTGCCTTTATGGCTCTGCTAATACCAGAATGCAGCAAGCCAGCCCCCAGGCAATCCCAGAAATCATCAACGTGCTCTTGTTTCTTTCCTTATCTTCCAGGCACTCACTGAACTGGGCCACTGCACCCTCAAGATTCCCTGAAGGACTGTTATTCAACATATTTCCTTCTTAACCACAGCCTGTTACCAGGTAACTTTTCTGTTTGCCAGAAGAGCTGTCCTTTTTTTGTTTGAAGTGTTGCATTTCTTGGCTTAGGAACAAATGTACACAGCCCAGCAGGTTGGAAGGAATACATTTTAAATAGACAATGAACAGCACATATTTCTTTTTGGCCTGGAAAGGAAGGAAGAGTTATAAACAACAAATGGCAGCTGAGTACCTGAAAAAGGCTTCAGTAAGAGGGTTATGAGGGAGATGCAAAAAGCCCTCGACAGAACAGAATGAAATGGATCTGGCGGTGGATCTGCAGGAACCAGGAGGAGTCTTGTCACTGGTGTTAAGGGAGCAACATGGGCACCAATTAACAGAGCACTTCTCAGAATAGTATCTTTGCTTTTACATTTAAAGCTGTGTGAAATTCATTGGTAATTTAGCTCAGCTTCTTAAGACAGGCATTACAAGTTCTGCAGCTACAGGCTGCCTGAGCTTCGAGTGCGTTCTACGTTTAAGACCTTATTGCTACTATTAAATCACAGGATTTAAGAAGCAGCAGAATTTACACTGTCTCTGGAAAACCCGGTGAAAACAAATACAGACTTCAGCCTTATTGGGCACAGGTCTCCGCTAACATCACGCTCCTTTGTGGGGTAGCATCATGGATATGCTAAACATTGTACCAAAATTAATTGCTTAAAATGTAAGAGATCTTTCTCCCACCTCTGGAACAAACTGAAAAAAAGGTTACTTCAACCACATAAAAGAACCTCACTTTCCAAAGCTTTCCTTTTGTTCTTGCTTCTAGACCCTGACACTCCCCGTACTCCAGTGATCTAGACCCTCCTGCTGGCACATATGCCATGTAGTTGCAAGTTGACTTTTTAAGGCCATTTTGAGCCAAAGTATACAATCTTATCCAGTCCAACATTTTTACCCCGTGCAGTTACACAACCTGGGCAGAGACAACACAACGTATCGACAAACTGCGGCCTGGAGCAGTACTCTGCTTAGCGAAACTATGACCACACCTTTTTAAATGCAAGCGATGATTCACTCGAGGGATGGTCTCTCTCATGTGGCACTTGGCGTCTGCACGGCATCTGATATACAGTGGCACGTGACACTGCACGACACCATCTGCTTTCTACTAAACCTTTCAAGTAACAAGGACTGGGTACAAAGATGGAAAAATGGGCAACGTGGTAATGAACCGTGTTAGGTGAAAATAGCTAATGGCGTAAGACGATCAAGAGGGTAATACAATTACGCGTGATTTTGCATAGTTTCAGTAACTGCTAAATGTGACGTTGCAGGCAGTATGTTTATCAGCATGAACCTAGATGAGCTTTTTCACCAGCCCCAGAAGAGCTAAGCCTCATTTCCTACAGATCTGTGTCCTCAGCATACTTACAATGGACCCAGTTCACTCCCCCTGCCTCGCAATACCTTCTGCAGGTATTCCCAGATCTCCTCCTTGCCCCAGACTACAATCTGGGCAACCAGCAGTGTATTCTGTGTCTGACTTTTAGGTCCTGCTAACAACCTACCAACAACGTGTGTGTTAAACCAGCAGCTAGCAGCTCAGACTAAGAAAATCCTGAATACAGGTAGGGGCTCCATCTCTTTCAAGAGCAACAGATGATCTTTTCATGATTACTGGATTCCACAAAATTTACAAATATATTCTCATTTTTTAATGTCCAGCGTTGACTGGATTTTTGACACAGCCAGCTCTCAGGTTCAATTGTTACTGGGAAGGCAGACAATGAAGGAATTCCTCCTCACAATGTCTTACCAGGGAAAAATACAAAGTCAGCATTATGGCTACAAATTTTACCCTTGAAATACGTTCTCTCAAAAACACCATCCATGCCTTGTAATATTTCCCTTCGCCAAGACAAAACTTGGATGCCCTGTACATCACTGGAACGCCTTCAAAACCATCTGCAGGCAGAAATTATTTATAAGTGTCTGTTGTCCACAGATAAAGTCTCCACCTACAGTGTTCTGACACAGCACAGTACTGGCTCACAGCTCTCCTCAGCAGGACCACGACCTCCAAAATGACAGCACACAACCCCGCTGACTGCGAACCCGTAACCCAGAGGTGTTTCCTTCCTGTGGCTTTACTGAAATCTAAAAATAACGCTTTGCACAGACATACTTCCACTTAAACACGGAAGACTACTTGTAAGCATCAATTCCAGCACACGGGTATGGGCTGGAAAGTCAGATATGAACTGAGTGGTTACACAGTTGAACACTGGGAGTCTGGCCTAATGCTTTAACATTTGTTTTACATCAGTGCAATTCTACTAACACACAGATTTTCACATGATAAAAATCTAGGTAATACCACAGTAAATCACAACACTGAAATCAAACTGTTAACACTTCACAGAAAAGATTTTTCTTGGTTTTTTTTTAAATGGTGGAGTAATAGTAAGTGCCTCTGTGCAACACCATTTTCACCATATACACCAGATAAAAGCCTATCTTGTGTTTTATTTTTAGTCCTGCCTGGCTTTTAGTTCACCACCAGCTGTTTCCTCATGTCATGCCTCAAACTCCGTTCTCTGACCGGTCATGTGGCTGGTGAGCTCCAGGGCAGTGCCTCAGCCCAGAGAAGGTGCCCAGCCTCAGCTGTGCTGCAGCTACAGGGGCACAGGAACTGTCCTTAATTCCTCCCACAAACACTCACCAGGCTTCTCTGCTCAGCTGATGCATTTGAGCCTTGAACTGCAAAACGCCTGCTTCCCATTTATAAAAGATACCTCCATTAACACCAAGTATGCAGTTTCATTGTGTTTACACAAAGGGTGAAAAAAAACACTTCGTACCCCAAAGCATGTCTTTGGCAATTTATTGACCCACTTCACCATCTCATCAGTACTCCAACAAGGAAACTCATTATGAAGGTTATGTTTCCAAATAGTACTACTGCTTTGCTGCATGAAACTAACCTCTCAGGCAAGGGCAGACTTATCCTTCACTCAGTTTCCTTGGGTCTTATTTTCCTCCCAGTAGCTATAAACAGCTAAAGCAGAATTTCATTTTTGCTTTCATTTGCTAAAGGCCTTCAGCCCCCTTTTACACTCTATTTTTCATTCCTTTTTTCCTATTAGACATTACCTCTCACACCAACAACAAACTAACACTTGCGAAAAGTGATTTGATTGAGGAGCGAATCCATGCCAAACATTCTGCAGTGCAGACAAGTATGTGAACTGCAGCTTTGGAGTCAGTTTGTTTACTGTAAACAAAACTTACATTCCCTGAGAGAACTTTTGCGAAGAGAATGAAAATTCCAAGTACTCAGTACCTTGGGGAAAAAAACTGCAACACTCAGAGTATTTTTAATGGATTTACTAATGAACAATCACTCTCTTAGATATAGTGTTACCATTTTTCCCCTTTTTTCTTTTAGTTCTTTACATATTGACATTATTTAAAAACACATAGATTTATTCATCTTCAAAAATAACAGCAGTTTTTTTTAAATTGATTTTGCACCTTTTAGGGGCAGCATCTATGTAATACCAGTACAAAATTTTAAACTACACACTTTGAGCAGAGACACCTTCTTGTATTCTAAACCATTTATTAAAGAGGGATAGCGTTACAAACAAACCCATCTGCTGTGATACCACTGCTCTCCGCATCCGTTACAAATAACGTAAGTCAACATTTGTTCGTCTGGATTTGTGTTTCGCACCCATCCCGGAAGAAAGAGAGTTCCTCTGGCGATCACAGTGACGGTGCAGTCAAATCTTTCACAGCGCCTACACTTTATTTTGTTTGTCTGTGTGCCATTAATAACTTGTGGAAGCTGATGTTCCTGAACAGATGATTCTGTGTACAAAGCTCTGAGCTGTTTCAGTTCATCGCTGGCCATTTCCATCACTGTCATCTCGGCAAAAGCCTTTGGACTCAAAGCCCCTGAAAAAAGGTTATGTTTTAAGTGGCAACTTTTAGGGTTCTTCAGGTTAGAGATTTTGCTTCTGATGCAATTTTTATACTTTCTGTCATTTTTAGCATGAAGAGCAAAAATATGCTCTTCGATTTCTTTAGATAGCGCCAGCCATTTATCAGTTTCTTCCGTGTCTTTGGCAGAACCAGTCAGAGCTTTATAAAGAAGATCCGTACATTTACACCTCAGAGCTGTCGCCGCATCCTGCTGCGGACTTGCTTCCTCAACAAAAGGTTTCGCATCTTCATTATCAGTGTGTTGCTCCTCAAAAGAAGCCGGCTGATGCATGCTGCCTTCTGCATCGTTACACACCACGTGCTTAAGAGCTGGCGATGGGACCATAATTTTACAGCTAGTAGCATCTAACGGCTCCTGCTGCCACAGTCCTTCAGACAGCGACTGCTCTCTCAGACCCATACCGAGAGGCCCAGTTTCCTCTTTCACATATACAGAAAGTGATGTTTTAATTTGCATTGACTGAACAGAGTTATTCTTGTAAAGTGTTTTCCACCTTGATAACAACTGCTTTGCTTTCTTTCTCAGCTCTCCTGAAGGGCAGATCTTGAGTACCCTGTATACAGCCTTGGCAACTTCTGTCCCCTGAAGATACTCTACAGTCATATCAACATCCTCAAGCGCTTTAAGATGATCCTCAATATCTTGGAAGTTGTTCTCAGACAGTAGCTTTTCAATACGACGGGCTCTGTCTACAAGGTTTTTCTGGTCAGACATTTTTAAACCTGAAAGTCAAAAAGATGTTAATCATATTTACTGCAGTTAGGACATTAATTAATTTTCTCTATATTCTCACAAGGTTTTCTTGCTATTTTATACTATTTCATTTATATATATCACTGGTTTTGACAGCGTTTTACTGAAATGGTGTATAGTGGAGTCAGTGGAGCAAAACGTAAAATACAGATGAGCCTGGGCCCTGGGAAAGTGCACGTGGGCATGCAAGCCTAACTCATGCAAGGAAAATGCTGGTGGAAGGAAGAGCCTAGGGACTTCTGCCGGGGTAGGGTTAACCATTTAAAAAGTAGGGTATGGCAGTAAGCTTTAATGAAAAGCACAGTGATTTGCCAAAAAACACACTAACAAAGACACCAAGAGCATAATAAAAATTTAGTCATAGCTGTTGTACGTATGCACACCACAACAGAAGTTCACAGGGCGACTCTCAACTGCTACAAGAAGGTAGGTAATGACACAACCACTCTGCTGTACGAGATTAAGGGTAGACCTGGCAGCATTTTGTGCTTCAGTAGGCTCTAGTACCACTGGACTACCTAGGAGCAACCAGCTCTGAAATTCAGCATTTTTCACCAAGAGCACCGGAAAAACACCTGTTGACGTTCAAAATCTGGACATTGTTATCAAATTACATCCTCTCAAAAAAAAAAAAAATTGAAAAGGAGGCTATGTATGTACGAGGCCCTGCCTCATACGTACATATAAACAATAAAAATATTAGTAGGGGTTTCACACTGTTAGTGTCAACAAATTGACTTTAATAAAATGCTGTTTTCAGAGAATCAGTTTGTTTTTCTATCACACAAGTTTAAGTCCAACTAAAAGTCTACTAAAACCCATGTCTGGGACCTTCTCTTATAGGTTATTGGAATAACCTAATGCCCTCACACTGCTGGACAGCTTCTCTACTAGCTTCCCGATGAACTCCAGAGGCAGATTTATAAGTAAACACTGCACAAATTTAATCTGGAGTCATAATGACATGAAGGTTTCCTGCAAGACCCTAAACCCAGAGATCATTGTCACCATCTTGCCAGAATGCATATGCAAAATAGCCCCCCTCAGAAACACTGGCTTATGTCTCAGGTTTTGGGAACTTTTAAACATTTTTTTTTCTCCATTTTTTTTTCTCCATTTTTGAGAGTTTTCAAGGATCTGACTATAAATGAACTCAGTACAAGTTGCAATGATACCAAATAATAGAAAAATCAAGGTGGATCCAAAAGGTGCTTTTTTTGGTTGCTTTTTTATTTGGGGCTGCGTGTTTGTTTGTTTTTTAAAAATCAGTCGTTCCTGTAACTATACCATAAGTTAGTAACATTTTTCCACAAATCCTTATAATAAACGCTGTGATGTTTTTTTTTAATAAAACCTGCAAGTTTCTCCTTGGTTTCTCGTAAACAAACCCAAACAAATCAAATGAATAGTTTTTTGCAATAGAAGACTAACTTGCAGAAGGGAGTAATGTGTAGCACAGCTATTTTTTTCACAGATTTGCTTAGTTTCGCCACTGTTGTGTATATGTTGTAATTTGCACACTAACATTGTTTTAGTCAATATGAACTCCTACAGCAGACAGATGAGATACCTGTAAATTGTGGGTTTTTTTTTTATTTCAGACTTTTTCCTCGAGCCTTTGTTACTTCAAAAGAATAAAATTAACCATCTAATGTGGGCATGGTATCTGACCAAGAAACACTGACCTAAATGACATTTTCAAGCACATGGTGGAGATGTCAGAGTTTTCAGGCCTGTCGAACATTTTTATGCCCTTGATATTAGGGATTTCACCAATTGCCAAATAGTAAGTAGCTGAACACATTTTATTGGGAGCTGCAAAGTGAAGGTGTGGGCTACTGTGCAGCAAGTTTAGTAAGTGAGCCTGACATAACCCAGCGGACCGTAAACCCAAAACACCACTCTGGCTCCTGCATGACCCTTAATCTTTCACTTGCTATGCAAGAAATCACCTTATATCCCTTCCAAAAGTTTCTCCTTATGGCTGCTTACAGAGAAGCAAGTCAGACTAGCAAACTTTTAGCTGAGGTCCCCAGCACTGCCCTTTCCCTTCCTAGATTTGGCATCGTATTAACAGTTCGATTGTCAAGGCAGCGCAAGAATATCTACAACTCCCAACAGCTATTTTTGGAAATTTTTAAAAGTTAAAGACACATCCCTCTATATCCTGAAAGGTACCTATTTTCTTGTGGCCGTAGCGTTATTAAAGCATGCTCCCATATATTCTGATGAGTAATATGAAAAGAAAAAGGGAATTTCAGAACAGAGTCTCATGCATGGTTTGAGTAAGATTTCCTTTTGACTCCTTTTTATCAAGCCCTCTGACCAAAAATGCCCAGTGGATTGCTATGTGTAAATTTACAAAACGAGTTAATACTGCTACGTTATTCTGTTTGCTGAAGAGAATTAAATACAGAACGCAGAATTGCATGGTGTGCTGTAAGCGTTGTGTTCCTCTTTTAGTCTGCTAGATCCATGCACAAAACCAGTGTTTTGTCTGAAGTTGTATACAATCTGATTCTACTCTAGAAAAAGTGATATCCCTGATGGAGACTGACACAAGGCTAGCTACTCATGTTCACGTTTAAAGCAACTCACAAGCAGATTTCTTGCACCATCACTGTTTCTGTGATGAGATCTCCTGAGAATGGAGCAAGCGTAGGGATAAGTGATACAGCTGGGTAATCTTCACACTCCGTTGCTTTCTAGGACCACCAGCCCAGCTAACTTCTTTTCTGCATGATGAATTCTAACTTTAGGTAGGGCCTCAGAGCTCCAGAAATGGAAAGGACAGAGACAGAGAGCGCATAAACCCTCCGTTGTTTCTATAATCCTGAACCACAGACCAACCTGACCTCCAGAGAGAATGAACTCTGCATTCATGTAACCTGTATTTAAACAGCTCATTCTTGTCTGACGCTTCGAAGTCCTGTAAAACCTCCACAATGGCTACTACAGAAACTCATTTACTACTCCAGAAGTTTCTGAATCAGAGAAACCAGATACATTTTTCAAATACTTCAGTTGAACTCTGTGCATCGTCATACTGAAAAGCACATACAAGTCCATCCTCGCCCATCTGTTCTGCTGCAGGAACACGCAGAGGCTGCGAGAGTGGAAAGAGGTGTTTTCTTAAGTAGGGCAGCCATTGCTAAAGCAGGATGGGGCCCTGTCTCCCAAACACTATTTAGCTGATACTAGAAAATTATGATCTGCTGTCATTTACTGTTTTTCATGCAATCTAGGGCAGGGTTGGTGGCAAAGTTATATGCCCAACCAGTATGATTGCCCTATGCCTTAGAATGAGTTCTGCTCCTTCCAACATACTCCACTCCAAACATAATTTTCTTCAATTCTTGTACCCATCTATGTATGTGTTACATTATGCAGCACATACCATAAAACATACCTATCTAAATGTGAGATGACTTCATAAAATCTCAGTACTTAGTATACAGGATTAAGGACATGCAAAGAAATTACTACACACAAAGTGCTCTCTGCTGATAATTTGTCCATGCACATACCTTTACCCTGCAACAAAGGTAAAGGACCTTTCGTTGAGCACTATGCTTCACAGGAAGTTTTCTCTCAAATACTGATAGTGCAGAAAGTCCATGGATGTTATGTGCTTTACGGTACTGGTCCTTGCTCATGGTTATCCACCTGACCTGAGGTGGCTCACCAGAGCGGCAAGGTGAAGATGTGCCCGCTTCTGCGGCCAATCGCACACAAGAAAATTATACGGCTGAGAAAGAGTCCTTTGGCTCCATAGCTGTGACCAGGCACTGACGGCTGGGGTGACTAACACAAAGCCTCTGAGGGGAGCTGGAACCCATGCACTGGCATCTGCAGCAGGAACGCAGCCATTCTGCCTCACGCTCACCAGACACCGACAGCTACTGAGAAGCAGCTGACATATGCCAACGCATCACCCTGCACTAAGGTGCCGTTTTTCTAATAGGCAGATCTAAGACAATGTGTTTTGTTTCTTTTTAACCCTCTACCAGATATGTAAAAAGCTGCTTTAGATTGGACTAAATCAAGTATATATGTTCTACATTAGGACTTTTCCCACATGTGTGCTAAGGCAATGAATTAAATTCCCAGAAATTTTAAGATCTTCGTAGTCATGCATTGACTTTTTCAAGTTTATGCAACATCAAATTCAAGTACATGTGAGTTATAGCAGCACATAAGTAAACTGAGAATATGGACATCAAAATATAAACAATTATTTAAAAATATTTTTTGAAATCCAACCACCTAACAGACTACTGACATTTAAGTCAAAACAATCACTTCTAAGGGAATGCTTTCCTCAACATGTACAACATATAGCAAAGAGTTAAGACTTTCAAAGTTATTATGCAAAGCTAGGTAAAATTAACAGAAAAAAAGTAATCAAAAATGTATGACAAGGACATAACCAAATCCATAAATACTTCCTTCAATGGAGTGGGATATCCACTGGTAACTGGCAAAAGCACAAGAAACAGCCAGCAGAGAAACCACTAAATAAAGGAAATAAACATGTCTATCAGTGACAATAGAGAGGTTTTTGTGGGGAAAACATTCTTGGAATAGCGCTGACTTTGTTGTGTGTACCTAGTTTGCAAAGGATTTTCAGATCCTTCAAGATGAAAAGTAATACATACATCCTCAGGGGTCGGTGTTGGGACCCGTACTGTTTAACATCTTTGTCAGTGACATGGATGATGGGATTGAGTGCACCCTCAGCAAGTTTGCCGACGACACCAAGCTGTGTGGCGCGGTCGACACGCTGGAGGGAAGGGATGCCATCCAGAGGGACCTGGACAGGCTGGAGAGGTGGGCCACTGCCAACCTCATGGAGTTCAACAAGGCCAGGTGCAAGGTCCTGTACCTGGGTTGGGGCAATCCCAAGCACAAGTACAGGTTGGGCAGAGAATGGATAGAGAGCAGCCCCAAGAAGAAGGACT